CGCGCACTAAGCGATTACACGATGTAACCTGTGTGTACCTAATCAAGCGGATTAACATCTTACAACGTATTAGGATATTAGAATGACGAGTAGCGAAGGAAATTTTCGTGTAGACCGCCTTCGAACGTTCTACTTTTCGGGGATGCTCCATTAGGGGACCATGACAGCCAAGAAACGGAAAAATTTCAAAGGGTATTTGCAAAGGTCAGATTCAGATTCAGATTTGCTTTCACTCTGGGTCCTTAGAACCCTACGTCAGGTACCATTACACCAATTTTCCATTCTACATGTTTTGTTAACACACCCTATTTTAACACTTGTTTATTTGATGGTTGTGGTTCCATTTTTTGATGAACTTTCATCAGGAAATTATGGAACAACGGAACAGAGGATGCACGCTAACAAAGGGGAGCCTCGTTAGAATTTATTTACTATGTTTGCTTTGTCCAAAGGGGGCTTTCGACAGGTGCCCGGACGATTATTCGAACGAAAAGTGTCCGGGAAAATTGTTCAACGACCGCTTCCGATAGAACGAGCTTTGCGTTGTTTGTCTTTCGAGCAGGGGCTCAGAATCAAGGCGAAAGTCGCCGGAGTTCAGGCTGGAAATACGGAAAATTGCGGAAAATCGGCAGACGGAAAGTCACTGACCGGGAATGTATAAACGGTGGAAAACTTCAACGATTTTCCGTCGATGCGAGTATTAATTCACCCGTTTCTGGAAACGAGGATTTTCCCCGTTCGTAACGCGAGGAAAACCTGCAATAAATTACGTCTTCGAACACTGTATTGTTCTTTGGCGTGCGTTCTGGCAAGGACCATTTTTCGTGGACATTTTCACAATGGTATACATGTATTTATTCGCATCTTGTTTATTTTTCCATCCGGGGAACATACTACGGTCGCGGTCACTGCAATTCTAAGAGGATTCTTTCAGAAATCTATCGGTTACGCTATTTGCAAGAATAGGCGAACATGGAAAGCGAGAGATCTCGTACAGCGAATTTCCCGGCGGAAAAGCGTCGGAATATTGTTCGTGAACTGTCGAGAAGAAAATTTCTAAACACTGAAGCCTAGTGCATGAGTTCATTCAATGATTAAACGCGCTCGAATGCGTTGTTGGGATTCAATTATGGATTAAAGGAAATTGTTGATTAGTGTTTTTAATCGAGACTTGATAAACCAAGATTACAATAAAAGTAGACTGGAACAGAGAATTTGGAACCTAACCTAATTCACTCGATTCATTGACGACACCAAAAATAGAAGAGAAAGAATCCTAATGATCAGTATAAAATGAACTTCTAACAGTGAACAATTTCTCATACGAATCACAGAAAATTTGAGCAAGTAATTTTTTAATCGATAAAGAAATTCGTCGAATTATCCTGATTAGTTATTGGGTTTATTGGATTGATTTCCACCGCCTTCGACAAATTTTTTAATTCTGTTGTAGGAACACGTTCTTCTAGCGAGCGATTCGTGGCGCTTAATTGCCCCTGGAAAATTTAGAACGCCCAAAGAAACGACCGAGCAGAGGATCACGGAGAAATTAAGAGGGAAATGACCGCTTAATGGGCATGCCAATTATCTCCGACTCGGCTATCGGGGCCGCAGTAAAATGCTGGAGGTGGACTTTTCCTAATAAGTCTCCACTCGTCTTCAATTAGTCAAACTTGAGTGGAGTGAAATTTCAGCTATTATGCAGAACTCATAAATAGATTTAAATTACTGTAAAATATACTGGGGGGCTCCAGCTAAAATTAAAGGCGCTGCTATCGATTACGTTATCGACAAATATGGATAATTTTTACGTGTGTTTATTCTAATCGAGCCAATTTATGCAAAAATATTGTAACGTTTATCCTGAATATGAATAATGGTCAACAGTCGTCGATGACGTTAATTAACGAACATAGTTTGGTGATTTATTTATAGGGGTGTGCATGTTCAATGCTCATGAAAATTTATTTATACAATTTACTGCTCTTAGAGATATAGGAATTAGAAAAATATATCATTTTTTTTTACCAGGGATTATTTTTTATACATATTGTTCTATTTTATTTTAGTTTTACTAATATTGTCGCATTAATGAAGCGAATGATCGTTCCATTCGCGTTAAAAATGAAAGGGACGTCCCGAAGTACAAGTTATTAGGATTCTATGCCGCTTCTAAGCGTCGAAGCCCTTACGTACCTACGAGATCTCGCGATAAGGTCGGTGACATTCGAGTAGACTCGTGAGAGGAAATCAGAAATGTCGGGAAGTGTCTCGATCGAAATTCGAATGGGTTAATTGGATTCTCGGGCGCGTTGGCGCGTAACCTAATTAGAATCTAATTGGATAAACGCGTCGCGAGCTTTGATACGATCGCGGGCAACGGGGAGGGAAACGAACTTAAACGCTCGAAATATCAGAGCATCAGAAGTACGAGAAATTGGAAAAAACCTTGCGTTAGAAAAAAAAAAAAGTGAAAGCCAATTAGCTGTCCTTCTAATACCAGGGAGCCAGGAAAACTGAGGAGACGGGCGACCCTATGGAAATTTTGGAACTTGAAATATGATTTCCAGCCACGTGAGAAAGCACCGTTTGAAGAACAGTCGCGAGCACAGATTCAGAAGAGAATTGAAAAGAAGTCGATCGTTAACGACGACGAATGGAATAGGCTGTTAGGAATGTTGCGTGGTAACGATCAAATCGCTGAAATTTGGCGACAGTGATTCGCGAGGGGGCGCGTGAAAAACCCACAAGTCAATTAACGCGCCCACGAGGGCCAGGGAAACAGAAAACCCTCGAAGGAACATTTCTGAAGGTACTTTGAAGGAATCATGGCCGATTCGTTTCTTCGAATGGCTGCAATCCTTGTACCAAAAAATCGACGTGCCAGATAGAGTCAATTTTTTCTCACCCTTCGAGGCACAGTGTTAAATAAATCTGTTATTCTTCGTAGGATAGGTTCTTTCCAAATAGTTGACACGTATTGTTTATCAGTTATTTGCAATTATTTCCTCAGATAAATATTTCGATAAGATTTCAAAGGTGTTGCATATATCTTTAATATTTTTATTGCATATATTGTCGTAAGTGATGAGAAGTGATTCGTATCGTCCACGTGTTTGATTCGATGACATTAGAAACACTTTTCGTGGAACAGCTTAATGAACTCTTGTATTGCGTAACTGATTTGAATAGTAATGTCGCAATTCATTAAACAGGCGTCATACGAAATCAGTCTAAGCGTAAAAGTAAACGCCCAAAATGATTTATTATCAGGAATCTAATATTACCGTTTATTATCATTTCATTTTTCGCGAAGTCGAGTGAACCGACTAAATTAAAGCATGCTAATAGTCAGTTGGCGCTTTTTTCGAGTTTTCTTTAGTAAGAACAAATGAGAATAATGACTGAACTATGTCAAACAAGACTTATAATCATTTTTCTCCTGCCTTACTTTACTACTTCCATACTTCATACTTCCCTAATTTCTTACCCTCGCGTTTATAACCTGGTGTCCACTTTTTTCTCAACTTCTATTTCTAGCTTTTCATTCCTCCTAACTCTCTGTGCCTTTCTTCTCATACCGTAATATTAAATAAATTTTTCCTACCTCCATAAATCTTTCAAGTTCGTGTACCTCTAATTCTATAAAAATATTCTCGTAGCTAACCCAGACCTAACCAAACTTTTAATAATTTTTTCAAGCTTATTGTGCATAATAAGTATTGCATTCATTGTAAAAGAAGGTATTACAAGATTGAAAAGGTCGAAATTCCACAGGGATTTCACAAGTTTGCGCGACAAAAAAGTGAAAGCCAATTATCGTGTCTTCAAGAAGCTGGGTAACAGAAATATCGTAGAGGTATTTTTCAAAAGTGTCCATGGGGCCCGTCTTTCAGGCCTAAGAATCCAGTACTTTATTGAATTCCTGTTCCTTTCAATATTGTAAAAAGATCGATGTAGTAACCTTGACGATTGATTGAAAATATTAAAAAATTCGATGTTTCAGTTTGTCTAGAAAACCTTAGTTTAAACCATCCATTTCTGAGCTAATTCGATGAATATCCGTGGGCATTGCCAGGCTCAATAATCTGGCAGCGAGTAGCAGCTTTCAATCATTCTCGTGGAATCGTAATGAATTTCCCACGAGAATGACGACCAACCAGTGTTCATGCATCCGTGAAAACGCTGCCCAACACGTGGGATTGTTCGACCAACCAATGGGGGTCCGGTTTCTCACGACTCTGGGACCCACCGTACCAGGGAACGTTATAAATGGGACCGAGGGACCGTTTTACCAGTCAGTCGCTCTCGAGCGCTTACAGCTTCGATGGTCATTTATTTCGCCATTTCGTATCGCGTATCGTAACGTCATAAGATGAGAATGTAACACGTAACAGAAAAGAGTACTTAGATTTGGGCCTGTTTCTCAGTTTCGTGTTCTAAGAACAGTGTGGCACGCGTGTGGAGACTACAAAGTGCAGAGTTTTACATATCGTACAATTTTGCCATGTCTATCAAAACAACAATAACCTATCCTTCGATATAGTTACAATTTATTGGGAATTAACATTTTATTACAAAATAAAAAACACTTACCTAAATGTAGTTTCTTTAAGATCACTTTTTTTTTTATTTTCAAGCTTTTTAATACTTTTTTTAATGCAATTGCATGCTTTCATTATTTACACACGAATGAAAGTTTGCAGTTCCATGAGAAGAGCATTAATAATCTAGAAAATTAAAAAAGAAAAAAATAATCCCAAGAGTAAAAGAATTTGTCAGATTTTTCTTTTAAAGTCACTCAAATTGAATTGTAGACTTTTTCTGTATCTCAAAGCTATTTCATATCATAACTTTAATATTTCCATTTGTATTTATAATTTCTAAGATCCCCTTTGGGGAACTTGCGTATACGTCACTGACACACCTTGCGTTCGATTGCAATTTACAAACGGTCGATACAAGATAAGCCGGTAATAATAAATTAAAAGGGGACTTACCGGCCGGATGATTGGACTGAAGATTGTAATCGTCGACTTGTAACGTGCCGTTCGCTCCTATTCTGGTGAATCTTACGACGTGGTATTGGTTGTCGTTCACTTTCACGCCAATCTCGCCAATCGGGTGGTCGTTCGTGCCCATGTTGTAAATGGCGAAAATGTTACCTTCCACCTGGAAATTACCAAATATTCCTTACAGACTCTGTGAATATTCCACGGAATACTTTTATTCCAGTGTTTCTCAAAATGTGGGCCACGAACGTGTCATTTAATAGATTAAAAACTTTTCCATCATCATCAGTTGAATCAACGAAACAGAAAAAATGGGAAATAAACAGCTTTCATTAGATATTTTGTTTGTAATAAGATATTACTAACTGAAAATCAAGTGATAAGTTTATTCGATAAAATAAATACTTAATTATTGAAGAAGACCAAAGTATTTTATTTTTGTATACTGCTTTAGTAAATAATGTATAAAAAGTTTCGAATAATAATATAGAATCGTTTAAATCCTGTTTTGTTGTATATTAAAAACATTATAATGTAATTCTACATCAGTGGTTTCGTTAAAAATGCTCTTTTAACGAGGAAATTCGAAGAAATGTGAAGTTTGAGAAACACTGTTATATTTTATACTTATTGATAGTAATATTCTAAGTGTTGCAATGTATGATTTAAATCTATAGAGGCTTTAATAGAGATTTTATCATTGGAGGGGTCCCTTAAACCTATTTGCTAAAACGCTTTAAAGGTTTTATCAACAAAGATTTTCTAAATTTCTATATAATGATAAATGTTTGTTTTCCCCCAATTGTTTTGATTTTCAGTTCAATGTATGCATTCATTAATAGTTTCTACAGCCTTTCTGAATCATCTCTTAGCAAATAGTGGTGTCTAATACTTTGCTAATTCATGTTTAATTCATGTATATATTTCATATTAGAGATACGAGCAGAAAATAAACAGGATAAATTTGTGTGTTATCACCTTCCGAATGTAAACTAAAATTTTTATGTGATTGACATCGAAGAGTTGCAGCATTTAATACTCAGCTTTCTCTAAACAATAATTCCTTATATCGTTTCTGGTGATTCAAGCCTGTAATTATTCATCAGTCTAAACATAAATATATCTTAAAATATATTGAACTATTTCCTCGTTAGATTAAACTAATATTCTTCTGTACACATGTATCGTGTTTTAGATATCCATGTTACGAGTGTTTTCTTTTAAAGTAGCAACGTAAGTGCTTTGAACACGGTTTCCAGGAACCAGAAGAATTACGATGACTTCAAGTACGATACTTTATCAACCGTGACGCGATTGTTATTTGTTATCTTCCACCGCACTCGAAACCAATGTCGTTACATTTGTTCAGATAACAATTTAAATTTTTAGACATTGTTTTCGCAGATAAATCGAACGCCATATAGTAGCGAATAATCAAGAACAGTCAAAATGCAATTTGCTTCGACAAATTGAAAACAGTATTTCTTGTTCAGTTTCTCTTGCACGCGAGACCGCATTTAACGAGCCACAATTCGAAATCAACATTACGTGGTACAATTTTCATTCGTGCAGAGCCTTTTTTTCAACCGAAATAATTCCAATTAAAAATTCGTTGAAAATAATACTACATGGGATAAAATATATTTAAATGTATTACACGTCAATATTTTATTTAATTATAGCAATTTGCGGAGAAAAATTGCCGCTCGTATAATTATTATACGACTGAACAAATTTATAATAATTACAAATTCCCTTTTTTAATCGAGCCATATTTGTTGCGATACTTTTACACGTTTCTTCAGCCATTTAGAAACAATTCGTAAAACGTGTTTTTTTCATTTTTTTCTCATTCTTTCTCATCTTAATAATTTCGCAATTTTGTTGACATTGTAATTTTCCAACCACAACAACATTATACGATTGACTCACTTTTATCTATTTCTTTATCACAGGGCTTTACTTATTTTTTCGCAAATAAAGGTCTTAGTATTATTAGTCAAACATTTCTTCGTCTTCTAGCAGTCGAAATACTGATCGAAGTAATAAGCGTGGTAAATTATACTTTTATCCAGCTGCTTATGTTTACGTTACTTCTCGTAACTTCTGCGTAATGTTTCTTTGGAATTTGAACTCCTTATACACACATTCCGGAGATGGTTTGTGATACGGGGTGTCCAAAAAGGTTGGGACTAAATTATTAGATGAAAAAAGTTCATATAAACTTACGTCCAAAAATGTTTCATTGAAAAGATATGAGAGTTCAAAGATTTACGAGCAAAATTCGACTTAAAATTCGTAATCAATAATAAACCTAACATAAACCTAACATCTAATAAACATTTTGTCAACAATGCATGTTCTCTTCAGACGAGCAGAAGATCAATTTTGGGAATGTATTTAAAATTCACTATTATTTCCAATACAGATGGAATATTCGAAAGAGTTTAACAATCATTAATTCGACGAATTCTGCATTCTTGCAGAGGGAGGAATTTTCGAAGATTTCTTATAACTATCACAATAAATCATAAATATTTATTTGACCTCAGTAACACGTAGTATAAGTTTGGTCCAAACCTTTTTGGACACCTTGTATGTATAGAGTACAAAATGATGTACATTTTCTTTCTCAAAATATACAGAATGTCTTATATTTTTGTTCAATACTGCAAATTCTGTTACAAGTATTGGACTATTACGAAATAGTAAATAACATTATCATTTCGAGTCAATCAGAATTTTTCTGTACTCTTGTTTTAATAGCCACTTTTTGCAGAGATGCTTGTAAGGTATTATTGCCAGGGTTTTTCAGCCAAAAAAATTCGTATAAGTTATCTTGTAGGATATGTTCTCTCTGACACAATTTATAATAAAGTGGATTCAAATTTGGTTGAAATTAATTACGATATATTGCTCCATAACCAATCTTAAGTTATTTTTAATCCCTAAGATGGACTTTAGATCTATTTTTGCCTTTGGAAAAAAGACAGGCTTAGAAGGTTTTATTACTTCTTCTAGCATATCTTTTTTATACCCTTTTTAACATTCCTTTCGCAGAAATGAAGACGTGTCATACTTTAATGGAACACTTCCTTCAAAATAGTCATTGTACCTGTACATGTACCATATTAATTACTTATTTATACAAGTGTACACTTGAAAGTGTCCATAGAATCTAATGTCAAATAAATAATAAATTTGTTTTCAATTTTCTCACTTTAGGGATCGTTTCTCATCGCCCCTTTTTCCCCCTGGATCTGTGCCCCAGGTTATCGAAATTTTATCGTTGTAAAAATGCAACGAATCGTTCGTTAACCAGGATTTAAACACTTGTTGCTATTACTAACAATTTCGATTTCAAGATGGTCGTCGCTATCGGCAGATTCTATTCTGAGCAGCACAGCATCGCTGACGGTGGTGACGAAGCCCAGGGCTACAGTGTCCCTCTTCATTTCCGGTCGTCGGTCTGGGGGGAAAGTGTACGTGATGAGTCCTCTTCCGGCTCCAAATTCATAAGATACCGCTTCTGTAACAAAATCGTCACACGTTTTCGATAAGATTAACAACGACAACAGTCCACAAAAAAACTCAAAACATTTTGAAACATTATACAAAAGAATTGCTTATCCATAACGCTAATCTATCTCTCGTTGGTGCTACAACGTGGTTTAAGGGGGTAAATATCACCCCTTGAGAAGAACGTAACTCTCATTTTCATTGTTGAAATTGAAATAATGAAAGAAATTTATTGCAGTAGTTGTACGCTTGGATTTTCAGTTTCAAAATGTCGAGCAATTTATATTGTTCGTTTATCGCGGTGTAAATCTTGGCGATTTGATACGCGCCAAACGATATGGGGCAAGTGCGTTAGTATTAATTGTTATAATTACGATTTTCAATCGTGCATACTGGGCAACGTTAGATGGCGGAGATTTGTTTATCGGCGATCTTGTAATTACCGTGATTATTTTCTCGTTTTCTCCATTCGAACGAAACGAAAGTTGAACGTAGCGGAATATGATATATTAATAAATTAATGCCATCTTTATCATCGTTGTCAGTAATCTATTAAATAGTACAATTAAAATTTTATATTATTTATTCGAAAACTACTATGTACCCAATTTATTTTCAGAGGTGTAATTATGTATATGTTTTGAACCCCTGTATTTACTTTGTTGAACAATTTGTACTTATACTATGCAATTTTCTTCATTTTGTTTTCATTCATAATAATCAGTAAGTTCTTATCTCAAAATTTACATTTCATATACAGTAAAATTGTATCCATTAAAAATCTAGTAATGTTTCTTAAATATATTTCTTATAGCAAAACTTAAATTTCATATCGAGTGAAATTGTTTCCGTTAAAACTCTAATAATACTGTTTCTTAAGTGTATTGCAATTTAAAAATATATTTCGACGCATGAAGGTATGTTTTTAAAGCTACAGCGTGGCCAGCACTCAACGCGAGTGCTCTAGATTCGACTAATCAGATTATAGTGCAGCTCGTAAAATAGGCAAATTTATTTCGTCTCGTCACGCGGCGTGGAACAGTAAAGTCTTGGGAAAAGTACTTCACGCTTTCGTACGGTACATAAATAAATACATACTATTTTAAAAACAAATCCTTAATGGAATAATAAAACTGTGAAATTTTCTAATGTATTAACAAACTCAATACGCTGTTAACCGACGCTCATACTTGTTTCTAAAAACGTATTACAGAAATATACTGTATTTGGCCATAATTACAATTATACAAGCGTATTTCCCTACTGTATCGATATAACAACGTCGCGCAAATACTTCTCTAAATTGGCGTAAAAATCCCATCATTGGGATAAATTGTAAATATCGTTTTTCATTGCTCTGCTCCACTGTGATAGAATGTAAATAACGGTAGACAATAATCGATAATATTTGCTCGTAATTAGCGAATGTGGAGTAGCGTTGCCCGCCCAATATGTTTGCTAGGCCTCGGTTCAATAGATTTTTAATTTGAAAATAGTCCCACAATCAGATTATTCATCAATTGCTAAATTAAGATCCTCGAAACTACATTCTACAGAATCATAACAGGCTTTAGAATACACATTTCTAGAATGTGAAAAATTTGATAATGCGACTCAGAAATTAAAATTAAAATGTCAGAAAATGCAACATTAATTAATTTGTACAGCAATAATAAGTCGACTACGATTCTACGATCTCTTCCAGAGATCTCAATCATGATAGAGAGGGTTTATTCTTTAGAGAGATACAAATCTAAGAAATTTATACCGGCCACGTTCAATTATAGAGATTCCAGGGAAGCAAGAGCGCAAGGTAATCGACCAATATTTTGTGGCCTTTCGCGTAATTGCGGTTTCAGTCTGTGGAAGCAGCCAGCAGTGATTGGGGCCACGAAATGGAAATGGTCAAACGTTCAACTATTGAATATTCATCTTTACCGTCGTTGCACGTCGGGCCAGAGAAACTGGTCATGTCGCAGTCACAGGTGTAACTGTTCCATTGTTGCACGCACGTGCCGTGATTCGAGCACAGGTCGTGCGTGCACTTTTTCCCGGAATGAAGTTTCGCGTACATGTCGCAGCCAGATTCCACCAGAGAGCTGGGAACAACCGCGTCGGAGATCAGGTTCGTGCTTTCCCCGCTGAGATCCAACGACGCGAGACACCCCTCGAACCCGTGTCTGCTGAGTATCTGCTTCGGTAGTTGGCTGTACTGCGTCTTCTCCACGCCACCTGAAACGACGGAACGCGTTATCACTATACATTCTTTTCAAATCTAATTTCCAAATTTTTATATTCGTTCGTCCATTCATATGCCATCGAAAAACTAATTCAGTTTTTCCCTCATCTACGACAATTACTTATCTGTAATTTCAAATATGGAATCTGAAATCTGAAATCCGTCGATAAATTCTAGCATAAGAGCAAATTTTTCGGGGCTAGTTTAAATGCTCGTGGTGCTTCACAGAATTTGTAACGGATTTTAGGGGACGGCGGGGGCGCGGATAGTAAGAACAAAGCGGTAAGTAACGAGGGCGGTTCAAAAATTGCCGCGTACCGATGTCGTTGGGTAAAAAATGGCACTCGTGACGCGTAGTGGATTCGAAATTCCGTCATACGAGTTCGACGAGCGTGGAGGACCGCACGTTCGACTGATCGCGTTGCTTTTCGCTGCCATAAATTCAAACCGCCCCGTTCAGCCGGGCGGCCTGTAGCGCCGGGAGGGTGAAAATTATTTCGGGCTGCCTGCATCCGCCCCCCCTCGCCGCGTTATACCGCGCGCGCGTGCAGAGACTTTAAAAACGACGCCCCCGTCGTTCGACCGAGCAATATTTCCTGACGCTGTCATTCGATCGACCAAGGTCTGGTTTTCTCCATTGGCGTCAGTTCATAGCGCCCAGCCGATATAACAATTCTTGATTCTCCAACCCTCTGTCCAATTTAACCCTTCGATGGACTACGGGGTTCATTTTTATTTCAGAGCCTCTGTTCTGCTCTTCGATAAATAGCAATGATAAAAAAAAGAATGTAGAAAATCGATACGAAGCCTTCACCAGATGTAACTTTAACATTGCTTCTCGTGGAATTTAATTGCATAATATAGTCTGTGACGTAACTGTCGAGAAGTCAGGAGGAAAGAAGCAACACGAAGTGTTGTTTTCGATTGCAATTCATAACTGATTTAATCCTGATTTGTTGAGCATACGTTCAAGAAACTTAAATAAATATACTCTTCTATCGAGAGCGGTAATCGATCTTTCTTTGAGAGATATGTTCTATTCCTTAACGACGTTACGACATCAACGGTAATTAAATTTCTTGTATTGATTCTTTTATGCTTCACCTTTTTTCGATTCCAATAAAAATATAAAGCATTGTTCGGAAGCTACAATAGGATATAAAGCGATAAAGCCATATCTGACGGAGTTGATTTTTACGAGTGAAACTTCCTTATTACATATCGTTTTTACGTTATCGACCTCGTTAAAAACAGTTCTACTCCTGAAGAGGTTCTAAAGTCTACTTCCTTGTGTGCGACGATTTCTTTGCTGAACGCTTATTTTCACGCGCAGAACTATTTTTTTATCTTTATAAAACGGCACGTCTACAACGACCGCGATAAACATTTATTTATTATCCGGTATTATACAGGGGATTCACGCTACTACTAGCTGGCTAATTAGAAAAAATGTAAGAGAAAAAAATTTTACAGTTCCTTGTGATCAATAGGGCAGTGTGATCTTCAATTTTTTAAACGGTCATCCGAATGCGTTTGTTGATACCAATTCATAGAAGATCGGGAATGAGGAAAGATTTTCACTATTTCATAACATTGTATTTATTAATGTTATTTCCTTGTATGATTAGGTTTCCTGTTATAACAATGTTTACACTTCGATAGTGCAAAGTTTATCCTTCGATAAAACTCACTGGCGAAAATAAATATTCTACGTCATCTCGTATGGGTAGTACTTGTCATAAATTTGTTATTTAAGGCGTGACCGATTACTCAGACCCGAGAGTCGGCCAGAATTACATTAATCGTCTAAGTAAATCATTCGATACGAACTTGTATTTATATTTTAACGTCTTGATACATCGCTTTAACTTATGCGTCATCGGATCCTGATTCTGATCTTGATGTATACATCACGGATCCCCTCGTTCGAGTAAATAATTTACTTCACGCGTAATATCTTGCATGGAATATGCCTCGTTTCTTCGATTTACTGCAGTTTTGGAAACATAATATTCCGAGATGCTTGAGAGGTCAGAAAACAGGGGACCTTGCATTTTTATTTCAAACGACGAACGGACGCGCGTCGCCCTTTGTCGGAATTAATCAAATCTCACGTTCCACGCTTACTGGGAATACATTGTGTGCCATGACAAGAGACCCACTATCGATCTATGGCTCCAGTGATCCGATAAACCGAATCATCTCCTTGGCTAACACTTACAGTTATGATGTTGACGTTTCCTCGGGCTTCACGCCTCTCGAAATTGTATCGAACAGGCGCCATGTTCAACGCAACGCGCGTTTTCGTACGCCGATTAAAATTTCTTTCATGCTCGTGGCATCCCCAAAATTTTAAGGTGCATTCTTTTTTCCCCCAAACAGGTGAAATGTCTAGTACTTTCCCGGCGCGCTTATCACTCGGTGATCTCTTTTATCAGTCGTTCGTCGCGGCGTCGCGTCGGTTGCGTCGTTTTAATCACCGTGAAATCAAAATGCGGAAACCGCGGGGGGGTGGGGGTCGAGGCAAGGTGATAGAACGTTGCTTATAAATCTAATCTCGTTCTCAGGAGAGTACTGTGGATAAAGGCCGGATGCGCGGTTCGAAACGGCTGTCTGAAGTCGCGGAACGGACAATCGTTCGAAGGAATCGAGCAGTCTGTTGTTTAAGATCCGTCCATCGCGGTCGCCACGTTCAGGCGGTGACCAGTACACGGTACTCGGAATTTGTGCACCGATTATCCGATCGATCTACCGCCGAGAGCCATGAGAAACGCGTCGATAACGATTCCACGTTTGCTCTGGGCCCTCGTTCTTATCGCGGGGTTCGCGGAGACGTTATCGGCAGTGGCTCGGGACAGAGGAGCGTATCCCCGATCGCCGAAATTCGAAGACGATAAACTGATCCGCGACGGTTTCCAAGTTTATATAAGGAACAGATCGTGGTTCGACGTGCTGTCGATGCTTCGAAACCGAGATATGGAGAAGGACGAGAAAAAGTTCGGCAAACTGTGCGATTACAACGAGAACAAGATGAAGGACGACGAGACGTCCGGTAACACGATCGACGAGGACGCGAAAGACTCGGAGAACGAGGCGAAGACGTTGCCGAGCGACAAGAAACCGCCGAGTCTCACCTCCAGAACCATCATCGAGGTTCCCGTTTTCCCGTGTCCCGAAGGACAAAGACTCGACAAGAACGGCGTGTGCAGAGAAATTATGTAAATCTTTTTGGTTAATCTCGATTTTTCGTTTATGAGTTCGAACAATTAAACTTTTATTATTAGAACGCTAAATAATTAAATTGCAGTTTCTTTATCGTGGGCGAACAATGAATAAATTTATAAGTTGCTTCTGATTGTTTTGATAGAACTTTCCTGTTTAATATTCTTTTCTTACAGTCGGTTGCTTATCGGTTAATTACGCACTTCTATTTACATTTAAACCGCGAAAAGCGACGATCGAAGAGCGCGAATTAATTGACTCCGTGCAAAAAACTTCTTCCGTTAAGTTTCAGCTAAAAATTTCTTCTGTTAAATTTCAGCAACTAGCAAGGAACCGGGAAATATCCACGTTCCATCAGACTGACGGAGGCGCGGGGCTTTCGTACGATCGGCGTCGCGCCTCGAGAAACATCCAATCGTTAAGTTAGTACTTCTTTTTTACAATAAACGATTTTTAAAAGATACGTAGTCTTTTTTCCACCTCCTGCGAACTCTTCCCACGCCTGTCGCCAATTTAGTTGTTTATGTAATTCGACGCGTAGCAAGGCAGTTTTCGAAAGGAATGTTATCTGGTGACATAAGCGTCGCCTCTATCACGGTTATTTACACAGCACCTTCTATCTGATGGATGATTTCATTTTTGCGTTGTTGTTTCGTAATAGACGAGTTTTGCAAATTCTAGAGCAGCTGGCGATCGAGCTGCAAAGGACAGATGTTAGGATAAAGGTCTCTTTCGGTCTAAAACTCAAAATGCACAGCCGCTCCGTGTCTCAAAAAAAATTTGTAAAACATTATAAAGGGTCTAATTTTATTGCAAAAGCATTTAAAAAATTATTTTTGAGTTTAACCCTTTGCCCTAGAAGCCTTTTTCGCTCGGGCGAACCAGCAACTCAACACTACTTAGAGGTGGAAACGTATGTATTCTGGAGTCGTCATATTATACAGGGTGTTCGGCCAACACTGGGAAAAAATTTTAATAGGAGATTCTAGAGGCCAAAATAAGACGAAAATGAAGAATATCAGTTTCTTGACTGGGGCCTCGTTAAAAAGTTATTAACAATTAAATTAAAAAATTTCAAACCGCTCTGGAAAAATTATATTCGGTTGCGGGGGCCAATTACAATAATTTTTGGTGAATACACATATCTCCGGAATCCTACCCACTTTTGAGAAAAAAATTCGAGAAGGTGTGAAATTTTTCAACGGGGAAAAAAAATTTCAAATTGTTCTGGAAAAATTATTTTCGGTTGTGGGAGTCAATCACAATCATTTTTGATGAATAGACACACTCTCGAAATCCTGCGCGTTTTCGAGAAAAAAATTCAGTACGGGCTCCACTTTAAACGATAATAACTCTTTAACAAAGCCTCATCATATTTTGAATTGATTATTTATTAAAAAATCATTGAAAATCAAATACTTATACTTTATGCTACGTGACCTACATAAAACTGTGATCAAACAATGCTTATTCTTATGTGTAAATATTGTTTGTAGAAGAGAAACTTGTTTCTATGTTTTTTATCATATTTTATAATTATGTTATTTATATGATTTGCAATAAATATTGAAATGCAATTGCCATTACTTTATTCTTTCTTTATTTCGTAATATGCTGCTTTTTGAATTTTATAAATATCATTCTTAGTTTGGTTTTTATGAGCTTTTTCTCTAACCATAACAAACTCGTCAAATTGGCTCGGTATTCTTCGCATAGGCACCCGTTTTTCGCTCGGCACTAAAAGGGTTAAATCGAACTTTTACAAATAAATGTAATTACACTCGGTTTGTTTAGTCGTTTCTTTAGTCGAGTTTTACATAAGTTTCTAACAAATAATATTGACGAGTTTTGTAACTTTAAGTATGAAGCGTTTAGAGTTTCCTTGTTTTCAGATGCTTCTGTAGATTTGCAATGTCAGGGAATTCTCGATCGGCTTATCGCGCGATGCCCTCGATTGCTCAATCGCGCGACTACATTCATATAAGAGCCGAACGAACGCATGGCGGTTGTTTCGAGTTAAACCATAGAGAGTTAGAAATCTGTATACCAATTGCTCGATCAATTTTCCACGCGACATCATGAGCTCGTTCATAAATGTTTTACTCGTTTTTATCGCGATGTTCTCTTTGTGTGCAATAATTCAAGGAGCCTATATACCCGCCAATCTTACTGAACGTCTATGTCCCGAAGGACACATACATGTCTATCCCTGGATTTGCAGAAAAGTTTACTAGACATTCGGTTAATTTCCTGGACAATTCTTTCCTATCTTGGAAAAAGGTAAGGTGGCTATATAGTGTAAATATATTTATATTTATTGTGTAATAATGACAAAAGAAATGAATATTGTTTAACATAAAAAAAAAATGAAGTTGCTATAATATCTAGTGTTCCCTTTCAGGATCACCGAAAAGAAATGAGGAACATTAAACAAAAGATCACATTGTTTTATCTTGTTAGTAAACGTGGTATTGCATCAAAGTAAGAAAATAAATCGTGATAATAGTAAAAATGAAGAGATTCGAGAAATTGTTGTGAAGAACTTTCGAGATGGTAAAAGCTATCGAGAAATTGCAAAAATTATTGTTTGAAGTATCAGCACTGTTCAATACATTATCAAACACTATAGCGAAGAAAATAGAATTACAAATAAATAAGAAATTCTCAGTCTCTATCGAGATATAATTGAACATTATAAAGAACATTATAATGGACTATTTGGACATATCCCACGTAATATTATTAAGTCCATGTACACTTGCAGAGAAATCTTCACAACAAAAAGAAGACATTCCACCGCTCGTCTAATACGAATTTCTTCCGCGAGAGCTTCGCTAATAAAAATTCACTATTTTCGATACCGGTGAGGAAGCATCGATTCAACCGATACGCAAGAATTCCGAGGGTCGATGGCATAGAAAGGGACCACGAGCGTTTAAAAACCACTGATTCGGAGTATCCATAATTTTGCTGACGCCGATCAACTGCTGAAGAAAACCATTCTACTCACCGATGTACAAGATCCCGTCGAGATCGAGATTCTCGTTGCTCCCTTGGCTATTGACAGCGGTGACATGATCGTCGACGGCGAGCGTGTGCCTTTTGGGCGCTGGTCTTCCGATGCTGACAGCGTGCCATTTGCCGTCGTTCAGGCTCGACCTCGAGGTGTCCCTGACCTTGACCGGTCCGTCACCCAGGTCGAACACGTAGTGGATGTGCCCCTTCACCAGCTCCACGGCGATGAAGTCGCGTTCCCGGCCGGCGTTGAACAGTATCAAACCGTTCTCCTCCCGCGTTTTGAACTGCAAAACGAGATACGATGTTTCAGCGGGAAAAAAGGAAACATGTAATTCATCGGTAAAAAAATTATTCCAACTCTACAGCGTCCAACTAGAAAAATATCCCGATCTGTACGATTTGTAAAACGAGTGTCGCTCTTTTGCTAATATCACGACAACACCTTGTACGTTTCTTCTTAAAAAGAATAAAACAATATGTCTTTCAAGTATCGGTAAAAATTTATAAACCACGTAACATCGAAACAACTTTACCGTAATTATTTGTTTTAATTTGGTCAGAATCTGTGTAGACTATTGCATTATGAAATTATTAATCCTTTGTCACCTCTGAAGGGTCCAGCAGAGATATTATTGTTTTAAAGTGATTATACAGAGTGAGAATGTAGAAACAAGATATGTTTACTTGGGTATTTGCTATCTATTTCGTAAGAAAGCGTGTTTTAGTAGTAGGTGGTCGAAAAAAGTCTCCGAGTGGAAAGGGTTAAATAATTTAATGTGGAAACTAGCAAATTGGGAGGGACGCGATTGCACGACCACTGAAAATTATTTGGACAAAATATCACCGACGACCCCGATTCCTGCCGTCTACTTCCGGCGTCGCGGTCGCGTTTTAATCATCCTGATTTTCGCATCGCCGATTTCATCATCTCTCCTTCGCGCTGACCGCAGGGAACGTTTACACAAGGGTGCACAATGAACCACCGCGCGATAGCCCGTAACGAGTACGTTTGATTACGAAAACCGATCGTGTTTTCCCGCTGTATCAAAGGGCGCGTGCCCCCCCCCCGTCCGGAACCCTTGATGAAAGACAGCGGAAAAAGCAGAGAGACCCGTCAATTACGGGTCGGGCGTAATTACGAAGGTGATGACCAAGAGGAGCTTGTCTGTCACTCGCCACGGAAGAACGAGGCATGATTGGGTTTTTACGTGGAACACCGTGACACGTGCCACGATTAATCCGGAGTTTCCGCATCGAATCGAGGACTGGTCGACGGTACGGGGGGTCTAATTGGGGTAACCTTTTGCGGGGACGCGTCACCGTTGACATTCCATTTCTTTTGCGGCGGCCCCGAATTTTCGAATAACGTCCAACGCGAATCTACCGAGGAAGATCTCTCTAGGTAATTTTCTGGCTGCTTCGAAATTCCGGGGGAGGGATTCGATCCGCCATTTTAACAGTTAAAGTTACTTCTATCGAGCAAGAATTTATTCGAGTTCTTTTTGGGACACGACATTTAAACTCTACTCGATAGTCGAAAGTATAGGCTCTAAAGAAATTGGTGAAGATGATATAGGCACTGAATAAAATTAGTTTGGAAGACGCGTCGAGCAGTAATGAGACTGTTTTGTTAAAAATAGGAAATAAATGAAGAATGTAGTAGCTTTTCTAAGGCTTTTCAGAATTTCCTTTCCAACGTCGACTGATCTCAACGCAAGTTTCGTTAAAATACAAAATTACAATTCGATACGTCGAAAATGAAGATCGATCATCGAAGGAACACGTTACCTGGAAGTATATGTTCGTTTCCACGTATGCTTTCAGCACAGGTAACCCGACGAACGTTTGTTTCGAGGTGAAGGTCACCGGATAGTGAACCGGATGGTTCCTTTTTCCAAATTTCCCCGTGATCCTGATGATCGGTATGACGCCTTGATGGGAAGCCTGATGATTTCCGGAGCTCCTCGCTATTTCTAAGTAGGGGTAACCGTTGAACCAGATTTGCTGCAGCTGGCCCACAAAGTGTGGTATTTCCTCCCCCGCGTGCAGGTAGCCGCCCACGTGCAACGTGCGGAATTCCAGGATGCCTTGCTTACCGAGCTGCGTTTCCACTGTCGAACAAAAGGCGAACTTAACGTTAATGAGAAAAATTGCACCTTGAATCTTTTTAAAAACGTCAGTAAAACATTTTTAGTAATTCAATGCACACCAAGAAATAAGTTTGATGTTTCGCTATTCGATAAATCAAAGAATTGAGATATTGAGTTTCAGCGTCGTTGACGAACTTCATAATTTATTTTACCGACAATATTAATTCTTGAATACATAAACAGTAAGTAATTCTCGACGTTTAGAAAACAATTCTCAAGCAACGATTGTTTTAAAAACTGTACAAAATACAAAATCTGCGATCTCGTTTCCTTTCGTCACAGAAACAGAAAGCGTGCAATAAAGCAAAGAATAATTCTAAATACACAGCCACGTGGCCACCAGCGGGAATAAAAGTTTCGCGGCAGCTGTCACGCTAAAATGTTCGTCTCGTTAAATATTTTCCGCCGTTTTCCGTGCGTGCACCGTGCCCGGGGAACATTATCCGATCGTTTCGTAAAATTCCCGCCGCGCGAAACTTTCCGATTTGCAATTCATTATTTTTACTCGCCTCCCCCGCGAAGCTTCTATAGACTCGGGACTCGACTACGTCGACGCAACGGCGCTCTAAATAAGAATAAAACGAGATTAAGACAAAGTCATTAATAAGAATTGTCCCGCGGCGGGCGCGGACGAGTGTACTTACGAAACTCGAACGAAGCCCGGCCGGAAGTTACACGGAAACTATTTTAATTATTAGCCAGACCCGGGATTGTCCCTTACCCGCTGCCGCGGGGACAATGAGGACTCGATATCGGCGCATTGTTCCTCGCGAGAATCTTAACGGACGCGATGCTTTTAAGCTTAATTGTGCCCCCTCCTCCCGCACAATGAGCCAAACTTTGTAAATTAGTAGCGCGATGTAAATATCGACAGGCTAATATAATACCGAGTTATCTCTAAAAGGGATTTTAACGCGCCTGGATTTCTTATTAAAAATTCTAAAACATAAAATAACGTGGTATATCTCTAGCCTGCAACTTGGATCATTGTCTTCCTATTTGTTAACCCAAATAACGAGGCTTAGACGCAATTATGGAAGTATCCAATCAAACGAGGGGCCCTGTTTGCATGGTATACCTTCGCCAAAGAACTGGTTTCTCGAACAAACATCGACAATTCGATAAAAAGTCCTATTTACACAGGATATTTGCACCGTTCGCTACCCAACTTTGCTACCTGTTGTTCGACCATTCGATTACTCTCGTTGTTAAGTGCACACCCGTTTGTCAACCTGCTGCGGTAAGAACATAAGGACGCCGTGCACTCAGCCGTACGGTAATTATAGCGAGATCGATGCCACTGAGAACCATGGAACCGAAGACCCGGAGCTTGTGGCGATGCTAAGGCGGTCAAGCAATTTAGGGTATTGCCGCGTAACTCAATATTGCTGGTACTCGCCATCGATTAATAGGCTGATCCTAGGACTGGGCCAGTGGGTTGTAGGTGTCTCAATTTATCGAGGGGACACGATGCTTTGCCCTGAACCTGCCTCTGCTTGACAATACGTGGTCGTTTCACCCTTCAGTCGCTGAGAGAGCATTACCGCGTTGTAATTTCTTTAGATATTTTTGGTCACTCGACGTTTCTCGACTCTCCGTTCCCAACTTTTGTTTTCACAAATTATAACCAACCTCGACCAAAATTCAGCTACTTAAATTCCGCCAAATTCATCAAAATTCGTTCCCCAAACTTGCTCGATTCAGCGCGTTTCACGGAACGTAATTCCCCCACTCGAGAACTTTTCTCATACGGTCGAAGAAAAGTGCTCGAAAACCGACTAATATCCGCGCTGTCGGGCAAATTTTCCGAACCGTCAAAATTCAAACGATCGATTCGCCGATAATCTAAACACGAATCCACTCACGCGATAACTATTGCAAACGTCTCGATCATCGATCGTCGAGTCTTGATCTGCTCGTCGTTAACAGTATTTTAAAATATAAAAAATTGAATTTGTGACCACATACCAATCGCTATTCAGTATACACAGTCGTCCATGTTGAGTTTAATAATCTTTCAGTATAGAAGTGAGTCATATTGAAAATTTTGTAATCAGACTTTTAATTTTCGACCCCGGAAACGCTTATATATCAATTTTAAAGCAATAATTTTTTGTTATAAAAATTGAAGATTAGGAGGCTGGTTTCCGTGGTACCAGAAACCCTTACACGACGCTTATCACGCGAATGAACATTCCTGAAAATTCTTTCGAGTTTTGGCCGGGGTTTTGGTATTCCGTCCCAGCGCGGGATGCACACGAAATGCAATTACGGGTGGGCGTGCCATACACCGACGCACGGCGTCGGTTATCGGTTATAGGCAGCGATACACCGCTGTCCTAGATATACTCCGATGCATTATGGCCAGGTTTACAAGAGATTGGATACAACGCAACGCATTGAAACTTTATGCCTACCCTGTACGGGTCGATTGGATTTTCCGAGCCGGCAAACTATGACCGATAAACAGTAGCAGGCTGTCCAGACGATAATTCCGAGTCACTTTTAATTATTATATCGATTAAGCAGCATTACCGACGGTTACATCGTTTCATTTTACTTTTCCTATAGTTTCGACTCGTTGTACGAATATTGCTTTTACGTTGCGGTTTAATTTACAATATCGCCTCGATGCAAATATTTCTGAAACATTCTGGCAAGTTTAAAGTTGCTGTACAGGCGTTCCGTTTGAATTTTTTAATCCTCTGGCTCATATTTTTCGATATCGTTGGTCTTTGTTTGCAACATCCTTTAATGCTTCCCGAAGGAAACAATCGAGCGGTTTTAAGTTCACCAAACAAGCTGACTACGAAACTGGCCCCCCGTGTCCTATCCAACGATTCGGAAAAACGTCATCGAGGGATTTCTTACGCCCTTCCGCCATGTTTGAGCAAGTTTTTAAATTAAATTTTAAGCGTATCATTTATCAAACTTTCAGATTTAATATCGAGGGTGTGCGTTTCGTCGATAAATTGGGGCTCGATCATTATTTTATACGATAGTGTGTCACACATTTATGGACCATCGTTGCGACGACTGGAGTTTCACGATTGATGCACAAATTTACATTTCCAGTATCGACGAACAATATTGTTGGAGAAAATATATGATTAGACTGTTTTTGTCGTTGGGGCCATTGACGAAATTCCATACGATATTTGTAATTTATTATTAAGTTATTCTTATATTTCTACTTTTTTATGTCGACCTAAAGGTGGTTTCAATGAGACGTGTAATCATTAACAAAATAAATTTAAATCTTCATTCGATCGAAAATAAATATGATTAGAGTTGTTAGTTCCGAAGTTATATTCGTTTTGACTAGATCGAAATGCAGCGAGGATTGTTTTTCAAAAATTTAAGCGATCATTCATTCGATTAAGGCAATTACAAAATAGCTGTTCCTCTATTTCTGTTTCAAGCGGAAAATCGATATCGCTGATTTTTTAAAATCATTTTCTCCGCGCGACGTTTCGATTTCATAGCGTGTTGATAATTTTTAAACGCGTCACGCTACCTGCACCATATTTCGACGCGAAATATCAAAACCCGCCAGAATTTCGAGCCGAATTTTACCGAATAATCAAATTCAACAGAAAACTTGTTCAGCTTTTTATTTCGACGCGAGTAATAGTAATTTGCGCGTGGATTTTATCGACGACGCGTTCGTTTAACGCAATACGCGAAACTTCATTGATGCAATTTCGCTTGTTTCCCGTGCGATTGGTTTCCAGCACTTCCCGAATCGGTCTGAAAACATTTTTTAAACAAAACATACTATTCTCCGGATACAAATCGAACGAACTTTTTAAACAATTTCTCATGTAAATCACTCATCAATTTATTTAGAGATAATACGAAGCATTCTAAAGTTTTTTACAATTGTTAAAATTTTCAAAACTGTGACTTTTCGAGCATTCGTTGAAAGAAACAGGGTGTCCAAGGGTGTAAAATATCACACATTTCGCTTTGTTTTAACGCTTTAATAGATCGTCATGGAGCTAAGAAACTGAATTTCGACGAGATTAAACAAATAAGTGGGAGTAATTTTTCGATATCACATATTTCGCTTTTTTTAAACCCTTTGATAGATCATCAAGGAACTAAGAAACTGAATTTCGACGAGATTAAACAAATAAGTGGGAGTAATTTTTCAATATCACACATTTCACTTTTTTTAACCCTTTAATAGATCGTCAAGGAGCTAAGAAACTGAATTTCGACGAGATTAAACAAATAAGTGGGAGTAATTTTTCGATATCACACATTTCGCTTTTTTTTAACCCTTTAATAGATCGCCAAGGAACTAAGAAACTGAATTTCGACGAGATTAAACAAATAAGTGGGAGTAATTTTTCGATGTCACACATTTCGCTTTTTTTTAACCCTTTAATAGTTGAAGGAGCTAAGAAACTGAATTTCGATAAGATTAAACAAATAAGTGGGAGTAGTTTTTCGATATCACACATTTCGCTTTTTTTTTAACCCTTTAATAGTTGAAGGAGCTAAGAAACTGAATTTCGATAAGATTAAACAAATAAGTGGGAGTAATTTGTCGATCGTCTGGAAAAATTTTATAGGCAAAGTAAGGCTCGAAGCGGACGTTTCCTTCGACGAAGGCGAGGGAATCCCGTCGAAGAAAATATACTCCCGTGGAATCTGAATAATTCCGAGTATTCTTCGCGAATGCCGTATTCAGGAGACGTCAGGTTCCCCGGGAAAAAGAGGGGCGCGCTTCCTGTCGCGGTGCTTCCGGGCCGATTATTTATGAAAAAGGACACGCCGCTGCACTTCTCCGCCGAGGCAGAAGGCACACGGACGAACCGAGCGTTGGGGAACGACAAATGGCGCGAGCGAAATAAAAATGGCACGGGGAGGTTTCGACGACGTTAGGAATTCTCGGTGCATCGCCGGTGCATGACTCTTCTTCCGTCGATCGATCCCGCGATTTCGAATGCGCC